ACTAGGTGTTGTTAACTTTGATGGAGTCTAACTCCTCAGCTGTATTGACTGGTTCGACATCTACGTAGAAAGTATAGTGTACCAGATCACCTTATTTATCAACCACATCATCTAATGTAATCACACATTCTTGCAACCTTGCAGGTATGTGTCTTGTTCGTCGAGGCCTGCTTGGGCCATCTTCATCTCTGACTTGCTCCTGTCGAACTTCACTTTCAACTTCATTGGTTGGTTCTTCACAAGAGATTCTCACTAAATCCTTCTTGAAATTCTCAGTCTAATCCCATTCTTTAAGCTCATCTATGATCACGTCCATGTTGATCACTACCTACTTATTCACTGGGTCGAATAACTTATAACCTCCACTCGAATGATATCCTATAAAGATCATCTAATTCGACTTATCATCAAGCTTCCTTCTTAATTAATCTGGCACATGTCTATGTGCTATAGATCCAAACATCTTCAAGTGACTGAGTCTAGGCTTGACACCAGACCAACATTTTTCTAGTGTGATTCATTCAAGTTTCTTCGTCGAACATCTGTTTAATATGTATGTTGTTGTCGAAACCGCTTCTTCCCATAATTCTTTGGGTAAATGCTTTCCATTCAACATACTTCTCACCATGTTCATGATGGTTATGTTCTTTCTTTCTGCAATTCCATTTTGCTGTGGAGTGTATGGTGGCACCACCTCATGCACAATCCATTCTTTTTCACATAATGCATCGAACTCTTTCGACACATACTCTCCACCACCATCAGTCCTTAAAATTTCCAGCTTTCGACCACTCTGTCTTTCGACCATAGATTTGAATTTGGAAAATACCTCAATCACATCACTTTTCTTTTTTTTTGAGGTAAGTCCATAACTTTCCATTGTAATCATTTATGAATGTGACAAAGTATCTATTGCCTACAATCGAATTATCTGGATTGGACCACATACGTCAGAGTATATGACTTCCAAAATTGCCTTCAAATTCTTTCCTACATCCTTGCTGAAGCTATTCTTGTGTTGTTTTGACTGAACACATTCTTCACAAACTTCAATTGGAATGTCGGTTTCAGGTAATCTTGAAGCCATATTTCTCCTCTTTAGCTCTCTGATGTCATTGAAGTTGCGATGGCCTAGTCGAAAATGTCATAACCATTCATCTCTGCTGGTTGCAGTTGCTAGGCACTTGTGCTTCATCATATTGCGTTCAATCTTGAAGGTCCTATTCTGAGACATTAGAGCCTTTAAGATCAACCTACCACCTGCATTGAGAACTCTCATCATCTTGTCTTTGATCGACACCTTGTAGTTCTTTTCGACTAGCTGTCCTATACTGAGCAAATTACTCTTCATGCCTGGTATGTACAACACATTGGAAATTATTGATCTCTTGCCATCTTTCCTTATAATTAAAACATCGCCAATACCTTCAGCTGCTAGAGTATTGTCATTTGCAAATTTCACCATGTTCTTCGACAAGGGCTTCATGTTAATAAACTAATCTTTCCTTCCAGTCATGTATGATGAGCATCCTGAGTCCAAGTACCACTGGTTCTGGAATCTCTCTTTGTCTCTTGTTGTGACCATTAGCAACATCTCTTATTCTTCATGCTTCACCATCTTTGCATCAGTTTCTTGATTTTTCTTCTTTTCTCGACATTCACTAAAATAGTGACCATACTTCTGACCAATTGAAACATTGAATGTGACTTTTGTCAGGCTTTCGTCCACCACCTCTTCCTCTATCTGAAGCACCACCCCTTTGGTTGCCTTGGTTCTAGGGTTTTCTTTGATTCGACTAGTTTCCTCTCCTTTTATGTCTACGCTTGCAAAGCCATATCACTCTTCGACTTTCCTGCAGCTCTCTCAGCCATCCTTTGTTCATGAGACTCAAGCGTCCCTTGAAGCTCTTCCTTCGTCAATATTGACAAGTCTTTCGACTCTTCTATGGCTACTACCACATGGTCAAACTTTGGAGTCAATGACCTCAAGATCTTTTCAATAACTGATCTTGATGTCAACACTTCTCCACATACCTTGATTTGATTCACCAGCTTTGTAACTCTAGTGAAGAAATCTACTATACTTTTACTTTCTTCCATTTGAAGCAATTCATAAATTCTCTTGTGAGTTTGTAATCTCACCTCTTTCACCTTTTCTGCATTTCCAAACGACTTTTCAAGAATCTCTCACGCTTCCTTCGCTGATTTTACATCACTAACCTATTAAAAATTATCTGGATCTACACATTGACAGATTATAAAGAGAGCTTTATAATCTTTCTTCTTCAATTCTTTGAATGAAATCTTTTCTTGACCCGTCGCGTTTTCTGCAAGTGGTGCTACTCTTCCCTTCACAAGATCCCAAAGATCTTGATAATAGAAGGGACCTTAATCTGCTTGCACCAATTCTCATAATTATCTTTCTTGATAATTTACAAGTTTGCCGGAAAGTGACCGTTTGGATGATTCATCGCCATCACGATTTTCCTTCCTTGAATCGTAATCGGAGCTCTAGATACCTGATGTTAGAAATTCAACCACAACCTATGAAGAATTTCACTCAATCAATCTTGATTTCAAGATTACTCCCACCCACGTAATGACGATGAAAATATTTAGAAAGAAAGAAAGTAAATGTCAGAGAAGAAGAAGATGAACAATTTTCTGCAGAGAACTCTCTGCCCACAAACTGTGGAAATTATGTTATTTCACTTGCAACTGTAAACTGTGAATTATAAAATATGATGAGATGAGATGTTTATAAAATAATAATTTCTCCCTATTTATAGATTTATATTAGCTTGCACCCTAAGGCAAAACTCAAACTATAAAAGTCCAAAAATATCTAATCTAATCTTTCTAAATCAAATATGATCTTTCTAAAACAATAAATTACAGATTTAACATTATTCACTTGTAATCTTTTGTAATATTGAAAAAGTGAATAGTATAGCAATTTGCACTAATCTTTCGTCTTCTTTCTTCTTTATTCTTTTTTCTCTCTCTCTTTGTTATAACTGATTTCATTGTTCATCAAAGAATTCCGGTTCTCAATCTTAATTTGTTAAAAAATATCGTTTGTGATCACAATAATGTCGTTCACAATATCAAAGTCTTTTCTATTTTTTATCTGATAAATATACGTTTCATTTTCTATTAAGTTCAACAATACAACATTTTTATATAAGAACCTTTCCAATAAGACCTGTAAATACTTTGTGCTTTATATACTTGGATAATATGTGTCTGATTGTCTCTATTTCAGTCTTTTAATATTTCTAATATAAATCTTAGTATTGAGGAAAGGATTGTCTTTCAAAGTACATGTTAAATCATGGTTGTGAATACGACATTAAACTCTAACTAATTCATCAAACATCATTTATGTTATGAAAAATTCTAAACATAAATAAAAATTCTAGACATAAATAGACACATACAATTTTGGAACATGTAATTGTGAAACTTAACTTTTATACTTTTTATATCTTTCACACACCAATATAATCTATTTCTTTGTTAAGTAGTTGAGCGAGATCAAATAATAACTATAATAATTTTTATGATTTATCGAGTGTGCTCATAACAATGCATCCTTAAAAGTAGAAAAATTCATTAAATAACAATGCCTCCTTAATTATATATCAATAATTTATAAATTTCAATTGATATTAAACACATGCAATATGCAATAATAAACAAATTAATAAAATGTATAGATAAATGAAACATAAACAAATATGTTCAGGATATTTTCACACATGAAAAATATGTATTTTTTTTATATATTTTAGGTATTTATAAAAATATGATAATTTTAAATGAGTGAGGTAGCTAATTGATATGTGTTAATTGAGTTAAATAAATCTAATTTGTTAAATAGAGTTCATTCTTTATCAAAAATATTTATTTATAATTATGGTTTAGTATAAACAATTTGTTGATATTTATAAATTAATATTTGTTTTATAAAAAATATGATAATTTAAGTATTTTTAGAGTTTTTTTTTTAAAACGCATAATATATTTTTATATATTGTACTTGTTAAAAGTATAATTTGTGAGAATCTCTAACAATTGAGAGTTGACATATGTTTTTAAAGTGTTTTGTAGTGTTAGAACTAGTTCACGTTATGTTTTTAAAGTGTTTTGTAGTGTTAGAACTAGTTCACGTAGGGACGTGAAAAACTCTATATGCAATGTTTTTATGTAATGAGTTGGATCCTCTCACAACTTTAAGGTTGACATATTTATAAAAGATTACTTGGACTTGAGTCTTAAACTCATAGAAAGTATCAATCACTTTTAAAGGCGTGAAAATGAGACAATTAATTGTCTAGTATTGAAGAGAAAATATGATCAATCCTTTATTGAGACAATTAATCTTTTAGTATTGAAGAGAAAACATGATCAATTCTTTATTGATTCCCCCTACGCACTGTGGTAAACTAGAACATTTTACCTTTATATTTTCATTAAAAAAATGATGATGAATTTAAAAAATGAACATCACGTCCAAATAATAAGCGTTCAATCTAATAGACAGGCCATAAAAAAAAAACTATAAAAACTAGACAATGTGTTATATGATTCTCCATCCACACTCTCTCCTTATAGGCCTTTTGCAAGTATAAAAAAACACATATTATAAATATTTGTAAGTAATATTTTTTTATAAAATTTGTATTCCTCTAAATTAAATGCGTATGATAGATATTTAAGAATATAACATTTTTTTTGTGGGGTTGAAGGGGCAGAGTGAGGGTACAAGAGGCCAAGAGGGAGATTCATCTCTTTTGTTTTAAAGAAAAGATTTATTTGATTGGGCCTTGACTTTGAGCCCGTTCAAAGCTCACGAAAGAGCACTACCACCTTCGCACTAATTGATTCTGGAACAATACTATCTTTCTCAACTCTTCGTTCGTTCTAAACAAGTGTCCGCTTCCATTCCCAATCAATCGACGCCGTAACCTCCCGTCACCGAAAAATCCCTAATCATCATGTGGCGGAGACTCTTCACTTCTCCTCATCTGAAAACCCTACGTTCCTCATCTCTCTCCCATCCCCGATCCGCCCTCGCCGGACCTCGATGCGTCGACCTCAGTCGCCACGTTGCCACACAATCAGGTATCCTCTCGTTCCCTTTTCGATGTTCTGAAATTGCATCGTTTGCATTTCGATTCATTTCTGTTTGATTGTACTTGCAGCTGGTTCGCTCAAGAAGAGAGTCGAGGATGTAGTGCCAATTGCTACTGGTCATGAACGTGAGGAGATTCAGGCTGAACTTGAGGTACTGGATTGTGATTATTTTATTTTTTATATTTTCTCGTTTAATTTTACCAAATCAGAATGCTAGTAATGCTTAATTTATGAATCGAATTGAATTTTTTGTGATGATATCCACTTTTATTATTTTCCGCTTTGATTTGTGTTAAATCAGAAGAAAATCTCTTATTATGATATGTTGTATGCTAATTTTTAAATTTTACTCCGAGGATGGTTTTTGCTGCAATATATAGATTATTCATTTCAAGGACATTCGTAATTTTTGTATATTTTGTATTTTTTTTCTCTGTTTAGGGGAGGAATATTCTTGAAATAGACCATCCAGAAGGTCCTTTTGGCACTAAGGTCAGTGTTCTAACTTCTTCTTTCTTCGCTCACTTATATTCATGCTGTTGTTTAACTCGTTTTAGAGTTGTGTTTTGCTGCTTCTTTTGTATGTGTTGGATTAGATCTTTCTAGACTTGATTTTGACGTGTGTTTGTAGCGGAATGATTTATGTTTGATGACCTTTAGGTAGAAAAGTGATTTTTGGCAAAACTAATCTTGTTTGTAGCGTGTTGTTAAAAATTTCCGTAGATACTTATACTCTAATTACCTTAGGGTATATGTCCCTGTTTCCTTCTTCACATTGCCCATTTTTTTTGTAGTGTGCTGTTAACCATTCCCCTAGATACTTATACTCTAATTACCTTAGGGTATTATTTGTACTCTAATTTGAATGTAAGATTCTAAGAAACATCAAGCAAAATCCATAATATTAACACAAGCACTGTGCAACAGGGTAGTCAATTAGTTATTAATGAGTAAATTCAAATTGCAAAAGAATACAGAAGGCTAGAATGATATTAACTAACTCTTGGTTTGGGATTTGGGACTAACTAGTAACTACTTTCAATCCACAATACATAAAACTTTAGGATTCAATGCAGAAGAAGTAATTGCCAATCAACCTTAATATATCCTTAAAAAAGTATAGCATTAGGATACAGGTGGTTTATTTGACAAATTGTTATCCTCAATTACTTCACTGTTCTTTGTAGTTTGTTGAGCTTTGAGTTAACACTATTTAAGTTTTGAAGTTTCTAAAGATTAAACAAAAAATGTAGTGTACTTCAAAATGTTATACAAAAGTTCTGAAGTATGCTTGATACTGTTGTGAATAGCTGTTGTAGATTTACTTTGTCTATTATTTTTTTTATTATGGTTTTGAAGTATGCTTGATATATGTCTGCTTTCATTATTTATTCTGGTTTTAGGAAGCACCTGCTGTTGTTAGGTCTTTCTATGACAGAAGGATAGTTGGATGCCCAGGTGGTGAAGGCGGTAAGTGTCCCTTGTCTTTAATTATGACTCTGTGCAAGCCTTTTCACAATCTGGTGATAAATACTAGAATTTGGTTTGTTACTTTGGGTGAAAAATTTGTTTTCTTTCTACAGAGGATGAGCATGATGTTGTCTGGTTTTGGCTGGAGAAAGGCAAGCCCCATGAATGTCCAGTGTGTACACAGCATTTTAAGGTAAGCCCAGCATCACATTTAAAATGTTATTGTTACTGGTTACCATGATCAATTTGGAGTTCAGTGTCAAGATATGTACATGTGTAGATTGAAAATTATACACTTGTTTGCTTGCATTTGCACAATATTGCCCTCAACTTTCATTGATTTCACAGGTTGATTCTGCTTTTTAAAAATCTGTGTTTTGACATACTTTGATTCCCTTTAATAATCTACATGCCTTGATATATAATATCCGACAATGTGTGTCTTTTTAAGCTATAGCTTGGCACTGTTTAATGTTTATATGTTACTTTCATTTTAACAAGAATCAACATTTTATAACAATGACTGTATAAATAAGACATCAAATATGTACAAATATTTTTAAACTTTGTTCCACATTATTTAACCCTTCTAGTCAGATTGAACCTTTAAAGTAATCGACTTGTTAGAGAATTAAATGTTTTGATGCTAGGTGCACTACAAAAGCTTTGACTTAATTTGAGTTTGAAATATTCATCTTTTGGCCAAAATTTACGCAGAGTTTAATTTGTTATCTTTTACCAATGTCACTCACTTCTCATGAACACTTCAATGTATATCTGGGTGAACTTTTTTGTTTGATTTAAAGAAACTATAGTATAGTGCTATGTCATTGTCGCAATCTCGTTTTAGGTGCAATCCCATGTTTGTGGTTTAGATAAGGGTTCATGGGTGGAATCTCAAAAGCACCCTTAATTTTTATTAGTTTTTTTAGGGTACATTGGTCATTCTGAGTATTTTAAGTGACCTATTTACTTAATATACTTCTTCATGAGCATTGTTTTTCTCTGTTTCTCCTTTGTGAACTTCATGCATCTTCTCCGTGTTTCTCCTTTTGCACGCCAAGCTAAGTGTTTGCCCTTCTGCATTCAATCTCCTTGTATCTCCTTCGTGTGAGGCTTACTGTTCTTATTTTTCTGCATTTTTCTCTGTTCGTAGCCGATTTTCTGGTTTCCTTTTCTCTTCTATTTGGGTTTTCGGCAAGAACACATATTCTAGTCTTTTGTTTTTTTTTGGTATTTTTATTACTTTGAGAAATTTAATTAGTTGTTTAGTTATATTGGGTTTTGGTTTTTAATATTAGTGATAAATAGCCAAAGTTCACTATAACTATTAAGTATGATTACCGCTTTAATTTTATATATTTTGTTATTTTTTTGTTATGTATGGATTCTGTTTGAATTTTTGTTTAGTCTATACTCCATATACTATTTCTAAGTGTTGGCAATAGCAGCTATCCTGTTATCTGACATCAACAAAAGAGGTTCAGTATATGCTTACATTGAAAAGTCATGCATAAAATTGCACCTTAGGGTAAATATATAGCCATGTCTCGTCCATATGGATTCAAGACAGAGAGGTGTATCATGTTTACAGCATTTTTTTTGAGAGAATATGTTTTACAGCATTTGCAAACTCTGACTTGAAAATTCCAGGAATAAGGAACTTCACCAATTTTGAGTTCTACTCGTGTACAAATTAACATTTCAAATTGGTACTTTACTACATATTGAAGCTAATTTTTCTGGTTTTGTATTACAGCTTGAAGTGGTGGGACCTGGCGGTGATCCTTATGGACACCATTAA